GCAGACGGAGATGCCCGAGGCAGGACCCTTAGGAGAGGCCGGCCAGGGGTGGGGTGGGGTGGGCGCGCACTGCACACCTCCCTCTCTTGCCCGTGGGGCGGGGCAGGCACAGCTGGCCTGGCAGTGGGTCAGACCTCCCGGCGACTCCTGGCTGGAGAATCGGGCAGGCCCGCCTTCTGTGTCCGGCCCCCACGGCCAGTCCCACGGGTGGGGCTCGGCCTGCTTTTGCACAGGGGGCCTGGGAACAATGCGCCCCCTCCCCCCAGGAGGAATGCCTCCCTGGGCCCGGCCTCCCTCGGGAACATCGGGGTCTGGGGCAGGGCCCCCTTGCGGCAGAGGTAGCAGCCCCCAGGAAGGGAACAGAAGGCAGTGGAGGGAGCGAGGCCTTGGCCTCAGGGGAGAGGGGCTCTGCCCCTAGGCGCGTGCGCGCACACACACCCGGATTCTTCCCCCCATCCCCCCCATCAGGGAGGAGGGCGGGCCACTGCCTTTCTCTCCACATCCTGAGGTCTCAGGCACCCCTGGCCCCACGGCCCTCGAGAACCCCAAATCCCACCCACCCCCGGTTTGCTGTGCTCTCTGCGTGTGGGGTGGGCTCCTGCCCTCCCAGCTTTCACCGTTCACAGACGAGAGGGAAACGGCAGCGCGGCCTGGACCCCCCCCCCCCCGCTCGCCAGGTCCATGGGTCTTGGACAACCTCTCTGGGAGCAGCCGTGGGCAGGAGAGGAAATTGCACCCCAGACAAGGGGCAGCGCTTCCTGCCGAGACGGGGAGGAGGCGCCCTTGCCGAAGCTCCTGGGCACAGACAGTAACTCCCCCACCCCACCCCACCCCCGGCAGAGGCAGCCCGGCCTCCGGAAACGTTGTGCAAAGAGATCTGTCCGGGTCCCCCCACCCCCAGGGTGGGTCAGAGGGGGGTTTCCTGCTTGTAGTCGTAGCCGCAGGTGGGGCCCTCGAACTGCAGCTTGATGGCGGCCTTCAGGTGCAGGTGAGGGTCCAGAGAGTCCAGGGAGAGGATGGGGGGCCCGGGGGGCCCTCCGCCAGGCTTGTCCGGGCCCACGGAGCGGGGGGCGGCTGAGAGGGCAGCCTGGCGCCGGCGGGGCAGGGAGTGCTGCTGGATCTGCTGGGCGAAGCTGAGGCAATCGATGGGCACCGTCTGGGCAGTGGCCAGAGAATGGAACGTGGACGCGGTGCTTGCCGAGGAGCCGTCGTGGGACGCCCGGGACTTGCAGCGCTCGTCCACAGAGTCCATGGAGGGAGAGCTGGACCGCTTGCCGGGGGGGGCCGGGCTGCTGTTGGAGCTGCCGGAGGAGCCCAGCTGCGGGGAGGTGGGCACGGACGCTGCCCCGTGGCGCTCCAGCAGCCGCAGCACGGCCTGGTGACCCTGCTTGGCCGCCATGCGCGTGGGGGTGCGCCCGGCCCTGTCACGGATGTCGGGGTCTGCCCCGTGCTCCAGCAGCACACCCACCACCTCAGCTTGGCCCTCCTGGGCTGCGATGGCCAGAGCGCTGGCCCCCTGGCTGCAGGCGTGGTCGGGCTGCGCCCCACTTTCCAGCAAGAGGCGGGCGAGGCCGGCGTGGCCCTGCCAGGCAGCCAAGTGGAGGACGGAGCGGCACTCCCTGTCCACGGCGTCCACGTCCGCCCCGTAGCTCAGGAGGAGGCGCGTGGCGTCCACCCGGCCCTGCCAGCAGGCGACGTGGAGGGCGGTGCGCCCCTGGGCGTCCCGCCCCTCGAGGCCGGCCCCGTTCTCCAGCAGCAGCTCTGCCATGTCCACGAGGCCCTCCAGGACCAGGAGATAGAGCATGGGGCGGCCCTCGGCGTCAGACAGGTTCACGTCGGCCCCCTTGCGCAGGAGCAACTCGGCCGTGGCGCGGTGCCCGCCCAGCATGGCCAGGGCCAGGGCCGAGAGTCCGTCGTAGCCGGTGTGGTCGATGGGGGAGCCCCGCTCGAGCAGGAGCCGCGCAGCGTCCACGTGGCCCTCCTGGGCGGCCAGCATCAGCGGGGCCCGCCCGTCGCGGTTTGGCTCAGCCACGCGGGCCCCGGCCTCCAAGAGCACGGCACAGGTCCGGGCGTGGCCCTGCCAGGCGGCCAGGTGCAGGGGGGTCCAGCCCAACCCGTCCCGGTGGTTCTCGTCAAGGCCTCGCCCCAGCAGGGCCTTGACCACGGCCTCGCTGCCCTGCCCGGCGGCCACGCCCAGCACGGTCCGGCCTTCGCTGTCCAGGGCATCCACGGCCGCACCCCACAGGAGCAAGGAGTCCACAACTGCCCTGTGACCCATGGAAGCGGCGGCTAAGAGCGGGGTGCAGCCCGCTGAGTCGGCCTCATCCACATCAGCCCCGGCCTCCAGCAGCAACTCAACCACATCCGCGTGGCCTTCGTAGGCGGCCACCAGCAAGGGGGTCATGCCGTCCCGGTCTGCGTGCCCCGGAGAGGCGCCGTGCTCCAACAGCAGCTCCACCACCTTGGCGTAGCCACGGCTGGCCGGGACACAGAGGGCCGCCACGGAGAGCGCCGTGCGCCCATCCACGTCAGCATGGTCCACGTGAGCGCCATGAGCCAGCAGCAGGGCCACAATCTCCCGGTGTCCCATGTAGGCAGCTGCAATGAGAGCCGTGCGCCCCTCCGTGTCGGCCCGGTTGAGGTCCGCCCCGTGCTGCAGGAGTGTGTCCACAATGTCCTCGTGGCCCCCCCAGGCGGCTGCCCGCAGCGCCGTTCTCCCCTCTGCGTCGGCGCAGTCCACGCTGGCCCCCGCCCGCAGGAGGATGCCGACGGCCTCGCTGTGGCCCCCCCAGGCAGCAGCCCGGAGCGCCGTCCACCCTTCCCGGTCGGGGCGGTCCACGCTGGCCCCGTGAGCCAGCAGGCAGAGCAGGACCTTGGTGTGGCCTTGGCGCGCGGCCAGAGTCATGGGCGTCTGCCCGTGCCGGTCCGGGACCTCCGCCTGCGCCCCCCGCGCCAGCAGCAGCCCGGCCACTTCGTGGTTGCCGCTGTGGGCGGCGCTGGCCAGCAGAGTCCGCCCATTGGCGTCGCGCTGGTTGACGCTGGCGCCGTTCTCCAACAAGAGGCGCACCGAGTTCTCGCGCTCCAGGGCGTGCTGCAGGGAGGGTCCGGGGCCCTGGTCCCCCAGGCGGGCCCCCGCCAGCACCAGGAGCTCCACCACGGGGGGCTCCAGCACGGGCAGCAGGAGCTCGTCTTCCTCCAGGCAGTGCTCCACGGGCACCCCGCACCACACCAGCCAGAGGGCCAGCTGCCAGGGCTCCATCCCCAGGCCGGCATGCAGCAGGTGGCGGGCCAGCTCGTGGACCTGCTCTGGGCTCAGCCGTGGCGCCCGGCAGGAGGCACGCATGGCCAGCAAGGCGTGCCCGCGGGCCGGGCAACAGACGTACTTCTGGGTGCAGTGCTTGACGTCGCACAGCCACTCGGCGAAGCTGGCGTGGAAGAGGAGGCACGTCCCGCCGGGGCCTTCCCGCACCAGCATCGCCAGGGCCGCCAGCCACCTCTCAAACTCCCCCCAGGGCACCGGCCGGCACGTCCAGACGGCGGCGTAGAGCTCCGCGGGCCCCAGGGGGCGCGGCGTGGCCAGGAGGGCCTCCAGCACGGGGCGGACGGCGGCAAACTCCTGCCCGGGGAAGAGGCGCTGGCACAGCCAGAGGTAGAGTCCGGGGAGGGTGCCTGGGATGTGGCGCGCCTCCCGCAGGGTGATCAGCCCCCCCGCCACGCCGTCCAGCACCCGCTCCAGGTACAGCAGGCAGCCGTTGCTCTTGATGTGCAGCTGGCTCAGGGCCTCGGCCGTGTCGTGCGTCAGGGGCCGCCGGAGAGCCTCCTCCCGGTCCAGCCGGGCCAGGATGTACTGCTGCAAGTCACACACCACCGCCTCCCGACGCAGGTCGTCCAGGCACAGCCGGCGGAAGCCTGGAAGGGAAGAGCCAGACGCCATGGGTGAGGACCACGGCCCCCTCTACGCGGTGGCCTCTTGCGAGCCAAAATTCTACTTTGTGAGCCCCCGGCATTAAAGTTGGGAGAGAACAATTATAGGGTGCTGCAGAAATCAATTTGCTCTGGAGCAATGTTCCCTCTAAACTATGGCGTCTTGTGAGCAAAAGTTCTGCTTCTTGAGCTACTGGCAATAAAGTTGTGAGCAAACGATTTGGCTCCTGCATAAATTAGTTTGCTCTGGAGCCCTCCTTCCTGAGTTAAGACAAAGATCTCTGAGCAGGAGGCTAAAAAGCTGTGAGCTAGCTCACACTAACTCAGCTTAGAGGGAACACTGCTCTGGAGTCCTCCTTCCTGAACCGAGACAAAAATGTGTGAGCCGGAGGCAAAAAAACCTGTGAGCTAGCTCACGCGAGCTCAGCTTAGAGGGGACACTGGACTAATGCTCCCTCTAAGCTGTGGAGTCCTGAGAAGAAGAATTCTACTTGGTGAGCTACCAGTATTGAAGTCGTGAGCCAGCAATTTGGCTGCTCTGGAGCCCTCTTTCCCGAGCCAAGACAAAAATGTGTGAGCTGGAAGTTAAAAAACTGTGAGCTCGCTCCCCCGGACTCAGCTTAGAGGGAACACTGGTGAGGACGGCCCCAGAGCCCCGGGGGAGGGGAGCAGCGGCACAAGGTGGCTGCCCAGCCCCACACATTTTAGGACTCCTCCGGTTCTCGGGGGAGCACGGACAACGGCCAAAAGAAGCACCCCCCCCAAACACCCATCTGGCCTGTAAAGAATCCAGGCCGGTCAGGAACAGGCCCCGGACCCTGGTGCGAGCCCCGCTCCTGTTCTCCCACCTCCCACCACACGCTGCCCGAGAAGGGGGGCCGTGGCTCCGTGGCCGAGCCCCTGCTCCAGGTTCCCCCCTCGGCACCTCCGACTAAAAAGGGTCATGTGGGGAGGCGACGGAGTGTGACCGGGGACTCTGGAGAGACAACATGGGCCCTGACAGACCCGTGGTCCGACCCGGTGTTTCTTCAGTGCCCCGCAGGTAGTGGAACCCCCCCCCCCCCCGCTGTCTCCCCCCTCCTCTCCTCACCTGGAAAGAGGCGCAGCACCCCCTTGCTGTGGGAGCGGGCGGTGCAGACCAGGAGCAGCCAGGGGGGCAGGAGCTGGAGGTGGCCCCCCAGGAGCTGGGCGATGGTTTGGCTGGGCCCCGGCGGGGGGGCGCGCTCCTCCTCCTCCTCCCCCCTGCCCCCCAGTCGGTCGCAGGGGCCGGCATCAAGGGCATCCACCAGCAGCAGCAGGGGCTTGGCGGGGGGCGGCAGGTCCAGCAAGGGCAGCAGCACGGCTCTGGGGGGGTGGAGAGGCAGAGACAGACACGGTGAGAGAGGACCCCCCCCCCAGGGCACTCGATGGGCCTCGGAGGGGGGCCCGCAAGGACATGGCCACCCCTCCACCGTCCCTTGGGCGGGGCGGGACCCCCCCCCCCCCCCCCCCCCCCCGGGGCAGGGGCCCCCTCTCTCTCACCTGCGGAAGGCCTCGTCCGGGTCCCTCTCGCAGTGGGGC